GGCACGGATTAATAAACCGAGAGCACAGTTTCTCAATCTGCGGGCCCGGATTAATAAACCGAGAGCACAGTTTCTCAATCTGCGGGCCCGGATTAATAAACCGAGAGCACAATTTCTCAATCTGCGGGCCCGGATTAATAAACCGAGAGCACAATTTCTTAATTTGCGCACACGGATTGGAAAACCGTGCGCTCAGTTTATCAATCCGTGCCCACGGATTTCCACCGGCTTTTTACCCTGACACCCAGGGGGCTCCGTACAATTGAGAGTATTACTGCTGCCACCATCTGTATTAGGGGGGAAAAATGGTAAGGGTGACCACAGGGGTGGCCCTGGCCCCCCCATCTAGTTCCGCCCTTGTGCGTGTCATCTCAGGTCCATCAAGCCTGCTTTGTGTCAGAGGACAGGAGACCAATGAGAAATGGTTTGTTGACAGCTGGAGCTTCTCAGTGTCCATGCAGTAAAAACAAAACAGGGAAAAAAACGGTTACAGGACGGCTTTTTAAGTCATGCCCCATATCAGCAGGTCTGCCTCCTCCTCCCTGCCTCCCTCTCTCCCACTCCCCTCCTCACTGTTGCCACCCCCCCTCCTCCTCCTTCTCCCTCCCTCCGAATAAAACCGACGCTTTCCGCGAATGTGCGAGCTGCCTCCTCTCCAGCAGCCATAATTGGGATTATTCAGGAATAATTCGCCCGATCCTGGCCGCGCCGTTTTTCTTCCCCTTTTTTTTTTTTTTAAGGGTTATATATTGATGTCCTAGAGCGGATGTCGAAAGCAGCATCTTCGAGGTAGAAAATAATTTTCGTTTTACCTCTGCTGGATTTTTTTTTTTTTTTTTTGGCTTCGGCTTTCCTCATATATTCCATCTGTCATGGAGGCTTTTATTATGGAGCATTAGGATGTAGCCCACCAGCCAAACAAAGACTGCATACTGACAGTTGAGGGGCAGCTGCATCGCCTTTTATTTCTGGGTTTTTCATCCTTATATTTTTGACTAGAAGATGGGAAACAGAGGCGCATCGAGGCTGTTGTCTGGGTGGACTAATTGTCCTGGTGCCACTGGCCGCTGCGCACGCCAAGACCTTTTATTATTTTATTCCTCCTTAACTGTGGCGGGTGGCTTATTCTAAACATTTGGGATTCCTGACATCAATTGGACATATATGATCAGAGAAAAACAGATGCCTTCCCATCGATGTGATGCAACATAAAATCTGTTTTCTCGGATGATATTCAAATGAACACATCCCTCCCTCTCCCTGTAAAAAAGGGTGGTGGATTTTTTTTTCTTCTTCTTTTTGTTATCATTCTTATATTTTTTAACACATCTCTCTCTCTCATGCTGGATTATTTGATCAGCTGTTGATGATCAATGCTATTTGACAGCATCTCCTGTTTCATGTTTATTCCATGTTTTTTTTGGATGGATTTATGCATAACAGGTGTTGTTTGAGGCTGAGAGCGCATCAAGAGCATGAAGCTTTATTATGTGTCTTTCTCTCGATTTAACGAGCAGTGAAACAAAGCGACCGGGATCCTTTTTTCTTTTGCCGTGAAATAAGAGAAGACTAAAAAATAGGAGGAAAAGAATGAGGGGAATGAAAGGTAGGTTATCATCTTTATCTGTTCTTCTCCACCTCTCTCTGTCTTTATCTGTCAAACACACACAAAACAGGTGATTTTGACACCTGTTCATCTGTTATTTACTCCACCCTGTGTTTTAGGCCTTGCTGGCTTGGCAGCCATTTAATCAGGTGAAATCATATTGTTTAAAAAAAAAAAAACACACTGGGAAAAGAAATTCATGTTCTTGGCCTACAGTAACAGGGCCAACACGAACTAGGCATTATAGCCATTATACATCCCATATATATATATATATATATAATATATATATATATATATATATATATATATATATATATACACACACAATGGAAAAAATCAAAATCTAGATAAGTCATTTTTTTCTTAAAATAAGTGCATTTGTTCTTGGATTGAGGAGGTAAAAGAGACACTTTGCTAATGGAACAAAACTATTTAGATTTAAAATAAGAAAACACAATTGCATTGCCTTATTTCAGATGCACATTATCTAATTATCTTATTTTAAGAGTAAAAATACTCATTCCATTGGCAAACTATCTCATTTACCTACTCAAATTAAGGGTAAATACACTTAATTTAAGAAATGGTTCCTTATTTCTAGATGGTTTTTCCAGTGAAGATTTAGATTTTTCCAGGGTGTATATCTATCTATATATATATCTATATATAGATATATATATCAGTTCTAGTTCCTGCTTGCATTCTGATTTTGGTTGTGTAATTATCTTTGCTTTATCCTATCACTTTATCGCCTCCTGTTGAGTGAGGTAGCACACTTCACACAGACGCAGAGTCAAAGGAAAAAAACAAAAAAAAAAAAAACAAATGGCTGCCCCTGCTCTGCTGCTATGTTCCCATATTCGCTCTCTGATATGAATGCTATAGACTGCACCCTCTGCTCTACACACATACAGAGGAGCGCAGGGAAAGCTTAAAATGTCCTTTGCTCATTTACAACATCTCTGTTTGTTGGACATGCTCAGGGTTGGTTATGCTGTGTCTGCCCCCCTCCCCTCCATCCGCCCTTCATCCCTGTACACCCCCATGCATTCACTCAAACACCCACACTTGCACAAAGTATGTGAGCTGTAGTATCTTAGCAACGGGCTAGGTAATTACTGAGTGAGCCAAGGAGCTGGCATGCTGTAGAGCTGCTGATCTGATCCCAACGTTAGGGAAACAGGAAGGTAGAAATTTTTGAGCTGTGTCGTCCAACACGACACTCGTGTTTTTTGTATCCATTTAGACTTCACTCACATGCAGGTCAGACATCTTGTTTCCTGTTTTTTTTTTTTTTTTATCTCAAACATGTGTGTCTCTGTTCCCAGGCGGTGAGGCCGTGGACAAAGAAGAGAAATGATTCTGTCGAGTAGAAAAGATCCGCTCGGCCTCTCCTTGTAGAGATCAGCGGAGACGACGACGGAGGCGGCAGGAGGAAAATAGCTGTTCTTTTAAGGGCCCAGATCAGGCAGGCTCTCTTGGAGGGCGATAGAATGGCTAACCAGAGCTTTGCCATTGATGGCCCTGGCAGTTTACTGGCTGTGCTAGCTTCCCAGAGTGGACTGGCGAAGGGAGGCAGCAGTAGCAGCAGCAATGATGGCAGCAGCAACAGCGGGGGAATCACTGCCACAGATGTGTCTGCCTACTTTAAGCTGGTCTTCTTGGGGTTGATCATCTGTGTCAGCCTCGTGGGCAACCTCTTGGTTTCTATGCTGGTGCTGCGGGATAGGACACTCCACAAGGCCCCTTACTTCTTTCTCCTGGACCTGTGCCTGGCTGATGCAGTCCGCTCCGCTGCTTGCTTCCCCTTTGTGCTGGTGTCTGTCCACAACAGCTCGGCCTGGACTTACAGCGCCTTGAGTTGTAAAGTCGTTGCTTTTATGGCTGTTCTGTTTTGTTTTCACGCTGCCTTCATGCTGTTTTGTGTGGCCGTCACCCGGTACCTTGCCATCGCCCACCACCGCTTCTATGCCAAACGCATGACCATCTGGACCTGTGCCGCCATCATTTGCATGGTGTGGACCCTGGCCGTCGCTATGGCATTTCCTCCTGTCTTTGATGTGGGAACTTACAAGTTCATCCGTGATGAAGATCAGTGCATTTTTGAACACCGCTACTTGAAGACCAACGACACCCTGGGTTTCATGTTGATGCTGGCCGTTGTGGTCTTGGCCACTCATGGCTTCTATGCCAAACTCCTGCTGTTTGAATACAGACACCGCAAGATGAAACCAGTCCAACTGGTACCAGCAATCAGCCAGAACTGGACCTTTCATGGTCCTGGGGCAACAGGCCAAGCAGCAGCCAACTGGATTGCAGGTTTTGGTCGGGGTCCAATGCCACCGACTCTGTTGGGCATCAGGCAGAATTTACACAATCAACACCGGCGACTGCTCGGGATGGAGGAGGTGCGTTCTGAGAGGAGGCTCGGCAGGATGTTCTACACCATCACCCTGCTTTTCTTAGTCCTCTGGGCACCCTACATTGTGGCCTGCTTCTGGAGGGTGTTTGTCAAGTCTTGCGCCATCCCTCACAGGTACCTTTCGATCACAGTGTGGATGAGCTTCGCCCAGGCTGGCGTCAACCCCATCTTCTGTCTCCTGCTCAACGAGGATCTAAGAAAAGTGCTGCGAGCCCATCTGCCCACTTACTGGAGGACTAAACAACACCTGCCCCAGGATGAGGCCTACTGCATCATGTGAGACCAAATTAGGGTTCATTCAAGGAATGTTTCAGGTTTCAAAGCAAATTTTAGAGAGCAGTAGGGTTTTAGTCCACTTGCTCTAAATGTGGGTGTCCGATTTGTTGTTTTGCACAACAAAATCCAAATGTTGCTACCAAATTCAGGCAGGATGCCAATGTTTGAAGAATGTATATGTTTGAATAAGCCAGTGAGGTGAAAAAAGTCTGGACAGGTGGCACAGAAAAACCCCTGGTAACACTTTGGCGATGGGTACCTCTGATGTACTGTATCAAATGATAGATTGGAAAGATCCCAACAATCACCACTCCAATTAGGTGTGACAGATGCCATTTTCAAAATAATGTTGCCTTATTTCAGACGGACACAGCCCAGAGCTTTCTACTGAGAACTAGTTTGTGTCACATTAGACCCTTAATTGATAAAAAAAAAATCAAAACCTTGAAGAAATGTGCCGTGGACTGTGAATAGAAAGTGTTGATCAGAGAATTGCAAAACTCTGAAACACATCAAAGAACTCAAAGGGGTCTGAATGGAGCGATAGACCCCTCTGGACGCCTTTTCAAGTTATTCAAAGGAGACACCCGAATATTAAGCAGAGCCAATACCTTTGGACACATTTAAATAGCTGTTGTGAACGCAGAAGCCCCCCAAACATGCTTGATTTTTTTGGACTTAGGGCGTGTCAGGTTTCTTTGTATCATACAATGAAGAAAAAAATTGCCTGTTTTGCTTTATTTGTAAACAATACATGTTGAAGCAGATGACACTATTTTGAAATATGACTTGATTTCTTATTGTATAGACTGTACAGGAATGTAGATTCCTGCTTGCGTGTTTTTCTATAGCATTTGTGTGTGGGTGGGTGTATGTGTATGTGTGCGTGTGAGAGCAAAAAAGGTAGAGAGGCTGGAAGGGAGAGAGAGAGGCAGAATGAGACTGACAGGAGTAATGATGATAGAATAGGTTTCAGTAATACTGAGTCAAAATGAAAGCAGCCACACTCAAAATCCTGCAAAAATTCAGCCGCCATCATATGGAAATTTATCCTTTAAATGGATTTCTGCAACTGAAAATGTGGTATGATTTTTTTATTTAATGCTAATGTGCAAAAAAAAGTGACATACTGGGGGTTAAGATTTAAAAAAGGGGGGAGGGGCAGATTTTCATTTTGAACACTTGTATATTACAAACAGGGCGTAAGATTTAATGGCGACTTCAGTGATGTATTTATATTACATCTGTTTAAAAAAAAAATAGAAGATGTATATTTATTTGCAAACGATGGTCTTGGGAATGTTTTAAAGTACTGTACTGTTACTGTATGCTTTCACCAGAATACAACACAAAAGAAGACACGTCATGAAGGAAGCTGAATGTTACCCGGCCCTCTTATATTTCCACTCGATTCAAATGTCACCATTTGAGTGTCTTGTTTGAGAAATCAAAGCGAAATCAGGCTGGTGCGGGGATCTGCACTGAATTGTTTCTCCAAATTAAGATTCATGTAATGCAAAATGTCTGACCTTCAGTGCGTTAGGCATAGAGATATCAACATGCAGTCAATCTTTTAAATGTGGACACTTGCACAGCCTACTGTTCTAGCATGCATTCCACTGCATTTCATAGATTCCAAACCTGGTATTACAACTTGTACAGATGTTGATATGAAAAAGGAAAAGTGAGGTCCATAATTTTTACGTCTGGCACTCTTTTTGCGAGATGATATCCTGTATCTGTAAAGTTTAACTGAGGTGGTTCTTTGGCCCACTCATCAATAAAGACTCTACTTTTGATGCATTCTGAGTCATGACCTGCCTGGACCGAGACATGAATGGGGATTTTTTTTAGTGGGAGCAGAACATCTGGTACAAATTACATCCTGTGAGCTTTGTAGAAATGTTTTGACACTGAGGTCTAACCAACGCCTACTGTTTAACTTGTGATTGGATTTCAACTTTTTCACAACTGGTCATGTTACAACTACCAACTAACGTAGAGTCTTTGGGTTTTAAATCATAGTACACATAGTAGTGCAGGGCCTTAAGATAAGGGGGAAACTTTTCATGGTTTTAGGTTCTTTAATCTTTAATCAAACAAAACTATTTATTATGTGTTACTATAGAGTCAATAGAATTCCCAATTGCTGCATCATCAGAAGTTATTTGTTTCCAACCTATTTGCAGAATAGCAACATGTGTCCAAAGTTGGTTTGTATAACTTGTGTCTCTGAAGATTATTTGTAATACATGGACAGACAGTTATGATTTGAATCTAACAAATGAATATTCCTTAATCCATAATTCCATGTAGCTCTGCCTGTATGCAAAAGGTAAACCTACACACTAGTCTCATATCTTCTGGAGCTTCTATCAGGCCTTTTCAGGTTCAACCTGTATTTTGCTCCATCCATGCAGCTTTATTTTCCCTGCTGAAGAGCATTACCCCCATAGAACGACTCTGCCACTGCCGTGTTTAGAATGATGTGCAGTCTTTGTTTCCCCGACTCAGAATTTTCCATGTTGACCAAAAATAATCAGTTTTGCTCTCATCCAACCAGAACACTTTCCTCCACATGTTTCCATTTCTGCACGGCCTGTAGGAAAACTGGAGATGGATTTTTCTATTATGGTGTTTCTCCATAGTGAAAACATGTGGATATCTATTGCCCCACCATTGCTTCCATCAGCCTCTTGTCTGCTTTTCTGACAGAGATATTTAAATCTTTGAATATTTTTATATAACATAAGTCTGCTTTCAACATCTACTGAACTCTACCCCTAAGCTGTTTGCTGTATTCATTGATCTCCACAAAGTTATTTGTTTTTTTTCTCCATCAAAGCTCAGAGACCCTTACAGAGCTGCTGGATTCATACTGAAAATGGATTACAAGCTTCTTTTACTCTTAAGGTGTCTTCTGAAACATATGGTTCCACCAGACTAATGAAATGCATGTCACCAATTTTAGATTTCAGAAAAAGAAACTGAAAACATTATTTTTCTTCCATTTCATATTGACGATTTTCTTTGGATCAACCTAGCATATAATCTGAATAAAGCACACTAAAGGTTGTAGTTGTAACATAAAAAGCGATAAATACTTCTAAAAGACACAGTTGGTTTCAAACCTGTGAAGGGAGATTTACAAATATGCAAATGCCATTACCCATAGTGCTTCCTTTGAATTGTATTTTAAATACAAAATGTGAGCAAACCGTCTTCTTTAGGCATTGATCTGTTTAAAGTAAATGTTCAGGCTGTTCAAAAAGTGTCAGATTAGGATGTTTTTGCTGGATCACATGAGGATAAGACAATTAGAAAAGTTCATTAAGTGTTTAGGCATGCTTGTCATCTAATGTGGTTAAAAAAAATCCACATGGGACAGGAAAATGGATTACAGAAACTAATATCAACAAGATAAACTCAATACCATGAAAACTGTGCATGAAAGGAGAGAAGAGGAGGTGTTAAGTTTTTAAATATTTTTATTTTAACACTTTATTTTGATATTCATGCCTAAAAGCTGAAATCTGATACGTCATTGCATGACTCAGCTTACCACGAGGAGATAGAAGTATGATGTGAGATATCAGTTGATGCTCTGGGTTTTTATTGAGACAGAGTTTAGTCTATCAATGCAGACTAAAATCTGGTTCTTTGCTTCTGCAACGGCTCAAATGGAAACAAAATGGTCAAAAACCCCATTGTATCTGCTCTGAAGACATATTACACAAATATTGTGCAGATCTAAACCCCTGTCCTTAATTAGATGTGCATCTGAAAGCAGTTTTCCTTTTAGTACCTCTTAAATGTTTTGTTTGATTAAAAGCAGCCTTTCAGGTTTATTACCGCTGCTGATAAAAGGGTGCATTATTGTGTGCAACAACAAAAAAAATCTACATGACACTAAATATCCTGAATGTCGCTTTCACACCAGATAAAAGCATTTATAAAACAATTCAGTGAATTTCAGATATCTTAGGTAAAAAGCTTTGCTGAGTAATTGTTCTATGTTAAGTTGAAATGGATATGATGGAAGACTATTATATGTTTTTGTCTTAATTAAGGCCTGTTTCAAACCCAGACACTGGATGGCTGTGTAATTACACCACACAACGATAATCTTATATTTCAAATATGAATGCGAGCTAATTTCCCATTGTCTGCTTTGGAGCTGTTGGTCTGTGTATGTCAGAGATGTTTCCATTGGGAGGGGGATTAGTTTGACAGGTTGCATAGCCTCTGTTTCCTCAGAACTGATGTAAAAGCCTCATCTCCGAGGCTTATTTTTAGTTTACTTCCCCTTGGATGTTCATCACAATCAGAGGTTATCCTACGCAGTAGGAGTGAGTGCATTAGGGGTAAACCTAGATGACTTTCCTGTCTTCATCCCTGCCTTTTTGAAAACAGATCTTCCCAGGAAGCGGTCATTCACCCTGCTTTTCCTTTCCACAGACCTGCATGTCAAAAAACTCAGGTTTTTGGAGATGGCTAAAAACTGTTCAGTGTTGAATCTTAAACATAAACCTTTTGGGTGACTTGAATATGGTGTTTTGCTTGTATTGTGCTGGTAGCTATTTCTTCTTTTTTTTTTTTTTTTAAGAAAGTAATGTCTGTTCCTTCATAAGATGAAAAAATTAAATTGGCCTTGACAGCTTGTAGCAAGGACTCAGAAACACTAACATATAGAATATTAAATAGTAATGAACTTTTTTGTTAGGCTGTCATAATAAATCATTAAAGGTTACAGTTTTCCAGCATTAATAGATATAAAGTATTCAAAGAGCTATTTTTAAAATAAGTTTTTTCAAATGTTATTAGTGTACTTCCAGCTTTTTTTTTTGTCGTTAAAACAGTAAGGAAACTAAAATGCAAGCCTATTCTCAGGAACGTCACTAACACGTTATTCTGGAGAGCAACATCATTCTCTCTATTGTGACTCCCTTAAACCCCAAATTAGCCAACAGACACAAAATTAGCCCCATCTCTAGTATTTCCGACTGTCAAACCGCCTTCAGAAAATATTGCATTGTTTGCATATTCCTTATTTCTGCAAAATTATGTTTTTTAATCCATCTTGATGCACAGCTAATTATGCACACATTCCCTTAATTTAGAGGCTACCTACCCTGAAATTTGCTAGAACCTACATGATATTTTAATGAAATATTTACAGGTTACTTTCCTTGCACATATAACAGGCTGTATTATTAGTTGAATCTTTGACATGTTACTGTTTTTTAAATTACATGGCACTTTTAGGGAGCTTACAATCAACTTTCCAGAACCTGTCTGTACTATGAGAGGGCTTATAAATAGGTTACAAGCACAGCATTTTTCAGAAAATCCCAATATGCTTCAAAGACACAGACCTTAAAATCTAAAATACGATTATTAGATGGTTCCTTTTAGGAACTCAGCAGGTACTTTCAATGGTATTTTGCTGAGGTACTTTTCTGAACATTAGTTACTTTACCATAATGTACTTGTTACCTGAGTGAACACAATTTTAAGCACTTATACCTATTACGCATCTACCTGTACCTAAGACGCATCTCATATTGGCACAATTCATCAAAGCACAATGTGTAGGTTTTCAGTAGGATCCATTAAGTTCTAGGAAAGTTGAAGAAGTGATTTCTGTAAGTTCTGGGAAGGTTGAGAGCTCCATCATTAGTGGGACGTATATATGATTTGTAATAATAAATGTAAATGTTTTTAGAGAATTAGGAAGAAGGAAAAAAAATATACTCAATAACATTGTTATTGTTTGTCAGAAGATAATACTATGACACTGATTGTTAATGGTAAAGTACCTGGCAAACTTTCAGATCCATTTTCTTAGTAAACGGACAAAAATGCCTGCAAACTTTTTTTTTCCTTTATCTATGGTTGAATGCCTCTCCAGGTCTATATTCTCCTTTCTCTACAGAGGCTTTGAGTTTTGCCAGGCCGTGGTTGTAAACATATCCTGCCTGGTTGAATAGAATATAACATACGATACAATTTTAAGAGCCAAAATAGAGACAAATAGAAAATATTTTCTGATGTGTGTTTGGAAGCAATTTTCTGTTGGAATGTCAGAGCCATGTAAAAATGTCTGCTTTTTACTCAAACCATTACCCTCAGAACAAAAAAAAAAATAGTAAGGATATTCAGAAGTAATCCAGGAACCACTAAGGCCCACACCTGTTATTAACTGGAGGATGTTTAAGTTTAAAACATCCTCATCCCTCACTGAAATAAATTTAATATAAACAGACTGATCACATGAATGCACAGCAGGAAAGATATATTTACAGCTGCTACATTATCCAAATAACTTCTGGGGTTATATTGTAGACAGAGAGAGAGAAAACAATGAATAATTTCATAACAATGACAAGAAAATGACCAAAAGGTCAAGGCAAGTGTGGAAACTGTTAAATATGGTGGTGGCAGCATCATGCTGGGGTTTCACTGATACATACCTTATCACTACTCTGTAACAAAGACAGGGAGGGAATAATTATATGAACAAGATAATAAAAACAAACATTAAATAAAAAAGACCTAAAGCATTGTAAGATATTCTAAATATATCCCATGTGCTGTTCGCTTGTGAAATCTCATTCCTTTTTATTTTTTGTGTAGTAATTGCTTGTTGCTATCCCATTATTGGGCAAAGTTATCAAAAGTAAATTGTGTGAGGCTGAAGAGAAACATAGAGCTGCAGTTTGCTGACACCTGTGCTCAGTACAGTTAGATAGTTATTCAAGCTAGTGGTAATGACACCTGGTTACACGGAGTTCACTAAAATTAGTGTTGCTTCGGTGTGTAAGTTTGCCTAAACAATTTTGGACTCTGTATTTTTCTCTGGCCCCCTCCCTGATCTGACCAGTGATGACATGTTTAGCCGCATGTCGTCAATCAACCGCTGGTTGTTTATGTGGTGTCCTGAAAACAACGTGGGATACATTAATAATTGGCAATCCTTATGGGGTTCGTCTCTGTAAAGCGCCTTAAGATGACATGTTGTGAATTGGCGCTATATAAATAAACGGAATTTAATCGATTTAAGATGAGTGAGGGGTTTTTGGAAACTGAAGATAGTTAAAGCTATTGCTGCAGCTATCCATTGTTTTAATAATTAACTGATCAAGCAATCATGAGCAGTTCTAGACAGGGGCCCACAGGGGCCAGTGCCCCTGTAGACCTGGTCCTAGTGCCTGTTTCTTAAAGACACAGCAAAAATGTATTTTCCCTTGATTTAAGGAGGTAAGCCAATTTGCAGATGGAATAAGATTTAAGTTAAAAATTACAAAAAATATCTCTACTTTATTATTTCAAGTGCATAATACCTAATTATCTGATCTTTAGAGCAGAAATACTAATTCCTTTGGCAGATTATCTTATTTACCTCCTGAAATTAAGTGCAAAGGCTCTTATTTTAAGAATATTTTTACATTTTACATCAATTTCCCATGATATGCAATGACAGAAGAGACGGTTACTGATTTTTCCTTTAGACCAATATTTTGCCTAGACAATTTAACCATTATTTACAAAATTACAGTCAGCTTTAAGCTTCAGTCATACCATAATAGGATCAAAGTATGTTATGGCAATAGTGTTCAATCCTTTGTGGTTCACTTAATATATCAAACAATGCACTTTTGGCCTTTTTGTGTTTGTTTGTGCTTGTTATTATTTTTCTTCTGTACCCCCATGCAAAAAACACAGGCTCCAGCTGTGCCCTGGCAAATTTAATGCAGAACAACCATGGCTAGCAATAATTATTTTTTAGAAATCAATAGTCACCTCAGTAAGTAACATACCTGAAAAAGTTAACGTATCTGAATAATAAAATACAATAAATGTTTAAGTGTGAATAACCAAGAGTTTGAACTTGAAGAAAACATGTATTGCATATTGTGAACGCATCGTAAATAAGTGTAACATGTTTAAAATAAAACTCAATTTGATGCCCAGAGATTACACTGGAGCACCTCTAGACAGAAATTATTTACCGTAAAAAGGTTTGACATTTTAAAAGCAGAATGTTTTCCTTTTCTACAGCTCTGTTGGGTCTTCTATTTATAGTAAGTTTTAAGTCTTTATAGTCCAAATAAAGTAGTTGAATATTCCAGTGATCACAATCAAGATGTTTCAGATTCTTTTAGGGAAGTTAAAATCTTTTTGTTTTGACTGACAGCTAAATTTTATTAAGGTAAAAAAAAAAACATATCCAAGTCATTGCTCTTTTGACTCGTCACAGATGCAAATAATCAATTAGCTGCATCTTTATTCTGTGTATCCAAGTCACTACCCCAGGTCTGGAGTGGTAAGTTTGTTTTATTGTTGCTCTGCACTATGAAGGTCCTGAGACGTAAAGGTATAGTGGAGGATGTTCTTTTTTCTGGTGGATCAAAGAAGTGGCCCTCCTAATCTTCAATCATTCCGGTGACATGTTTATGTAAGGCCGTCTTACGTGCTCGTCCCCATTTTCACTTACTAGTGGCAAGTCTGACAAAGTGGCAAAATTGCAAATCTTTTGTAAAGTAAGCTTGTATGAGCGATGCAAACTGCAACTTGCCCCACAGAGCGTGCACGAGGAGAAATGGGCTCGTGCACGGATTTAATAGTGGGCTACAGGGATGCGCATGTGCATTGTTTTTTAAAGTAGAGAGGGTGTGTCTTTTCAAAAATCCTTCACAATACCTTTAATCTTTAATCTTAGCTACTGGCTTAGGGCTAATTTGAATCACCAGCTGATTGTTAGAGCTTCTAGGCATCTAAAAGGAGCAGTACCATTAGAAATATTTTCAGATCTTTAAATAAACCACATTCAACATCACCCGTTCTGATATCAGCAAACACATTTTTGAACCAGTCAAAAATATTTCACAAAGATGAGTCGCAATGCAGCCATTTATTGTTTAAATAAATTATCTGAATCAGCAACCAGCATAAACAGACCACAAACATACAAATAGGTACAAACACATTAATAAACACACCGTAATCTTAATGATCAGATTGTGATTTTAACTTCATGCACATATTCTGAAAGGCATACAGGCAACTGAAAACAACAAAAAAAAACAGCTGATTACACTGCTTAAATAACAGTTACATAAATAGTAAACTATAGCTATGCAAGAGGGAACATTAGTGTGATCCAAAGTGTTGTTTTTTCAGGAAGATTACATGGCACCCCGTTCACGAGTTCAACCACAGCCAGGCGAGCTGGAGGTGAGCCATGACGCATGCATGGTAGTAAAGCCGTCTCCCAGTTGCAGCTGTGGGAGGGCTGACATGCACACACTGCCCACCTCCCCACCCTACGAATTTCTACGACATCCTCATCACCGACACAGGAAAATGTTCTACTCGATTGCACTTTTGTTTGTTTTTCCAGTGAAAACCTACACATTGGAACTGGACGGTTAAAGAGCAGGAAGATTTTTCTTTTTTTTACATGTAGTGGATGGAATTATTTCTGCTCTCTCCTCCAGATGATAACCATGCCGGTGGAGTCGGCAGACGCCAGCAGACTCTCATCGCAGTTGAAACTCACATCCAGAACCGGTCCACCGTGACCCTGCAGCTTGTTGACAATGGCCTTGGTGTTTCGTTCGACATCGAAGAAGTAGACACAAGCATCTTCACTGCCGGTCACTGAGACAAAAGGGAGTTAAAAGAGCAAGAAATGTAACATCACAAAGTATGAATGCTGTTAATTTGGGGTCTTTAAATAACAATTAAATAGTTTTTTTTAGGGTGGAAAAACAAACACCTGCAGTGAATCTTAAAAACATGTAATAGGGGCTCTCATTTGAGTTTCTTATGGACTCCCTTTAATTATCATCGGGTCAAAATTGTCCGGTGAAAATATTTAAACTTTCTAACTAATTTCTGTGATAACAAAAATACAACTCAGATGGTTAACTCTGGCAGAAACATGTTTACCTCTCAGTGTGACTTTTCTGCTTATAAGCAAAACAAGGGGGTATTTTGACACTGGTATGAGAAATAGGAAAAGGGGACAAAAGTAAAGCATAGAGATGCAAGGAGCTACTGATTACCAGTCTCATGTTTGCAACAATCTGCAGAAAACAGGCCGCCTTGCTGTAATTTGCTAATTCGAGATATTTCTTTTCAATCTAAAAGCAGCCTTATGCTATTTTTGTCTTTGTGCCTGGGCATATGAGTTTTTTTTTTTTTTTTTGCTTCCCCACACTGGAAGGCCTGCAGCTAGTGATGCAGTGTGGTCTCATTTTCAATTCAGATACACAGCAGGTACACCAAGAGACCCCAGCAGGAGAACGAAGAAGAACACAGAGGGAACTGCAAGACTCCTTACCCACACACGCCCCTTGTCTGAAAGACATGAGGGGGCAGAAAATGCTATGAACGTGCTGAGATCCGTGCTGGATGGGAAAGCTTCTCTTCAGCTGTAGTGTTCCTTCATTGTCCACAACCCTGCCGTTAGGAAATTATTTAAATAAAAGAATAATTTCTTCTATAGCTTTAAATTCATTTTAAAGATAGACAACTAAACAGTCAAACATCAATAAACCAACTTTATCCCGAACGGGCTGACCTGTAGAGCAGCAGCTTATTGACACAGGCGTTGACCAGCAGGGAGGGGTCTCTGGCTTCACGGCTGATCCAGGAACGAGCAGATATGCTGCAGATGGAGCTGCCTTCACTCACCACCAGCCGCTTGGCTTTGGTCAACTTCCCTGCAGGGACAGGGGTTGGAGCGTTGGTGGGGGTGGGTGACAGGATTGCCAGGGAGCAACAGAGATACAGCCGATTAGAATTTGTAATGCAGCCAGTGGATGCTCTGGCCTCGACTCAAATGGAAATGCTGCGATTGTACCTGTTGCCATGTCAAAGAGGAAAGAAAAGATGCTTCCCCTGTCATCACCAGCCCACAGGATCCTCCCCGGAGCATCAAAGGAGAGAGACAGCACGCGGCCTGTCAGCTTACTGGAGCCCCCCTTCACCTTCTTCCCAGTGGAGATGTTAACCACCTGCAGGTGGTGCTTGCTGTTTCCCACCTGGAACACAGCACAGAGAGTTAAGACCTTCATTGTATCCACGGGGGAGCACAGACACCCCGACCCAGACAAGGTTTGAATCTGATCTTCTATTACAGACATTCCCATCACTGAAATCCAAATCTATTTTTCCATTATAGCTTTAATGAGAAATGCATAAATTCATATTCTTTACAATAGTCAGCTTTGTCAATTAAATAATATATCATCACATCAAAAAAAGTTAAAAAAAATAATAATAATAAAAAGATTCATAATATACATTTTCAACCCCTGTTACAAGTTTTGACATTTGGGAAATTCTAATCAGTGTCTACAGTGAACATATTCATGAATTATTTACAAGGAGGTAAAGCGCCTCCATCTGCATACAACGGTTTGTCTGTGTTTTTCACACACAGAAAACATTCGGAATAAAAATGGAAGAAAATAAAGCTGCTTGTTTTTAAGACTTGGGAGGCAGAATTCTCAGTGACAACTTAATTAGTTTAGAAAAAAAAACTAACAGCTTTTTATTCCTCCACTAAAAACAAACATGACAGGGCAGGTTTTGGTATGTCCGGGTTTACTCAGTGATCCTTCTTTCACAAGACTGATCCACCCATCGCTGACATAAGCAGTTTTCAGGTCAGTTTTTAGATCTGTGAATAACAGTCCAGGAAACAAAATCAGGGACCTCAGAAGTTATGTCCTGTTTTTACATCTACGTATTTCATGATTGATGGTAGACATCCAGTCCCAAAGGCAGATATGTTCTGTTAAATGGAGTCTTTGTTCTGAAAGGGGGATTGCTGCAGAGCCTTGATGCAATAGTCTGGTTTTACATTGGAAATCCTTTATATAATAAACTAAACTTGTATGCACTGGTTTATCAATTATATGAAGGAATCCATGACATTCAGGATATATTTATAGACAGAAATTGGATTTTTCTGTCTTATTAAGTCTCTTGACATAAAATTTGCTAATTTGTTTGGCAAAATATGTGGTTAATTCATCCAACAGTTGAATCGGATCGCTATCGGATCTTGGCATAAGCTCAGCCATGGTATCGGATTGGTGTGTGGAAAAAAACTGGAGCGGTGCATCTCTAATTATTATATAGTCGAGAAAATAAAAAAAATAAAAAGCAAAACAATGATGACCCAATTTTTGTCTACTAGCAATGATACACTTAGTTTAATTATGTTATGATGCAAATCACTTCAATGAGGTTTCTGAAACCATACATCTGTTTCATGTTTTAAATACTCTTGAAGGGAAATGCCTTTTTTATTTATTTATTTTTTTACATTGGGCCCTTGATTTTACGTTATTAGGCACAAACTAAACTGTTCATAATTTATCATTTATGGTATGCCAGCGTCCGCGGTTATATTTTTTATATTTATATGTATTAAAAACGAAGCGGAGTGTATATGACTACTTTCATGAGGGGTGGGCGATATTAACAGAAAACTTTAGCATGATACCTGTCATAAAGAAAACTGTTTATTACTTCTTTCTAGTTCTTTTTAGGTAACTGTAAACCTGTGACTTAAGGCAGAGCAGTCATAGCGCCACATTCTTTAAATAAGCATCCATCTAAAACAGGTCTCTTCAGGAAAACAGTTCCATCGAAAAAGTGTGATTCTTATCTCTAAACAGCAACTATATTTAATTTTTTTTTTTAATTGACCAATGTTCTAGAGACAAAAATTTTAATAAAAAAAAGTTCAAAATAACATTTCTGACGGCCCTGGTATTTTTTCGGGGGGGGATGAAACATCATTAATCTTAATTCATCATTGTGACAATAAATCAAAAATCGTTATCACGACAAAGTGGGCAGCACCCACACGGTAAGCAGCAGCATCACAGTGAGAAGTTTTGTTCAACCGAGATGGAAAAACAGCAGCAAGGAATAATTGATCATGTATTTCCCTGCAGTTGTTAATGGAAAAAAGTAAAGTATAAAACCTTAATGTAACATTCAAAATACCATTATTATAAAGATCTAAACACAAAATGTATTCCAAGCCCCCACTAAAGCTTACTACTTATCATTGGCATGACAGTCTTTTTTTTGTACTAATGTCACCAAACTGTATTTTTGTCCTACTGTTAACTTAACTAAGGTTACCTGCAACTGGTTTAGCCAACTATTGAGAACCCCTAATTTTAATGAGTGAAGTAGAGGATATTAAGTATTTTCCATTTAATTTTATAAACATACAATAACCCAGTTTAAGCAGTAATTGGCAGAAAAACTGCTAATAGAAGAAGCTAACCAAAAACATACATATTGATGAACTAAAGGTAAGAATACCTGGACACATAAGACTTTTTAATTCCCAAACTAGACATAAACATTTTAACAGTCTAGATAAGAGTTAAAAAAATCTCTGCATGACAGAGAGGGACTCACCACAGTGAGATTATTATTCATTGGCTGGAAAGTGCAGCAGAGCAGCTCGCTGGATTCTGGGTCTCTGACTTCTCGAATGCACCGACCGTCCTCCGTGTTCCAGATCCGCAGAGTCCCATCCAATGATGTTGACACAATGATGTCGTTGCTTAGAGACCAGGCGAAGTCTGTGACGGGTCCACCGTGACCTTTTAGAGTCAGCTTTACACTCGGAGGAGGAGGGGACAGTGTCATGATGGACAGGGTACCATCCAATGAGCAGCAGGCGAGGAGGTGTTTGTCGTCGTTAGCAAACTGTAACCTTGGAACTTCAATAAAAGCATGAGGGGAAACACAAGTTATAAACTATATTCAATTAAACTATTTAGCAGATGTATAGATAGATTTTCATACCAGACGAGTCGACGTGTTGGTCAAATATGTGGTGCATGCCAGCAAAGGCATAGTTTTCACTCAGGGTCGTATCCCCGGCCATGGCACGGCTTGCCTCTGCCACTGAGGTGGGCACCAAGCTGCCCGGAGGCCTGTGTTCACAAAGAAGAAGTGACAGATGAACTCTTCTACAAGCATAATTTATAGAAAACATGGATTAATTATTACAAAGTGGTTCCGGACAAAAAACTAATCAGTAGATCAATCCAAACACTAGACATGAGACAAGGGAACAGATTACTGGTGTTTTTCCTACCTCTCATCATAGACCGCTCTGTTCATCTGGGCCTGTAGCTGGTAGGAGCCTCTGCTGACAGAGCGGCGATGACCACGAGCCCCTTGAGAACGGGGGTCCTCCTCAAAGTCCTGCAAGAGACAAACAAGAGCAACAGCAGAGAAAAAAAATCTCAAAGGAATTAGTTAATGTGATGACATTAAAAAAAGAAAAGAAAGAAACAGTCGAACAAATAACCTTACATCAGCTGTCCAAATACATCTAATAAATGGCAAAAAAAAAAGAAGTAAAAAATACTAGTGCCAACCATCTCCAACCAAGCTGCTCAGCTGAATTTACAGCAACCAATTTGTTGCTTAGCTTTTATCTATGCTTTAAAAGCCCCATCTCCAACCACATTTCCACCAATGCAGTCTTCCCTCCTGTCCCCTTTCTTTGAGTCTGACCTCCATGCGGTCCAGCGTGGTACGGGAGCTACGCACGCTGCTGGCCCTGAAGCTGCTTTGCTCAGACAGGGGCCCGTAGCGTAGGGCCAACAGCTGACTGCGCAGCTTCAGGTACTGCCTGCGCAGCCCTGGCTCAAAGCCACACTTGGCGTTCTCTCTGAGCAGCTGGCTGCGTCGGCGGATGTACTGAGTTCGGAACTGTGGGAAGGTAGGCGTGCGGTAAGCATTGTACCTGCGGAGGGAAAGAAGCGACAAAAGAGCAGATTGCAGCTTACAAATAATCTACACACCAAGTACTCGTCTGAACAACTTTCTCAAAATTACATGGGTGAGTGGGTCTTACCTTGCATCCACTGCCAAAACCTGCTGCCAAACTGCTGCCATTCCACAAGCACGGTGGGTGGAGATGAAGCCACTGCCAGGGCAGAGTCCTGGAAAAAGAAAAGCTTACATTAAACAGATAAGAGCACACAGCTCACATTGACGCAACAAGTAGGGAGTGGCAGCCTAGTGGTTAGGGCATAGAGCTTGGTATCCTGAGGTTCTGAGTTTGAGCAGCGGTAAAATGCAGGGGTAAATTTCTCCAATGTGCGATCAATATAATTCAATTATTACACAAGGGAATTTCTTTAGATTTTTTATTCATCATTGAAATGCATTGCTATTTATTTATTTATTTATTTATATAATTTGAAATGTATTCTCTTAAACTCTTACTAAAGTATGGAGTTATTTTTGAGTTTTTATTAAATTCAAAATAAACAAGAGATATCAAATGGGAAAATAATTTGGAAAGTAAAATAAATATATATTGGAGAGCACAATTTTTTAAACACAAAAAGCAAAAACTGATTTTATTTGAGACTTAACAAAACCCTTAGCAATCATAGAATAAAAAAAAATATTTAGAAAAATATCTTCACGGGAAAAAAGCTAAATTTTTACTCTCAAATATATATATATATATATTTTTTTTTTGTTTTGCAATCGGAAAACTTTTTCTCTCCAAAAAATCTCTCTCTCTCTAAATGTGAATTTATATTTTATTTGTTCTTTCACAATGTGTTTTCTCTCAAATCGTTTTTGAGGTCTGACATACCGGTAATAGTAGTTTTTGCTAATAGTGTGAAAACATGTTCTCTGAAATTGATTTATTTTACATTCAAAATAATTTTCCCATTTAAGATCGCTTTTCTTCTTGAATTTAATAAAAGCACAAAACAACTCCATACTAAAGCACCTTCAATTACCTTCCTTAAGAGTGTAGTAAAACAAACACACTTCCCTTGCTTTAAAGAAAAACACTGAAATGACATACACTAACGGATTTAAAGATCCATCACATGTTTTTCTATAGGAAACTATTTTAACCAGCTTTTCAGAATTTAACTTCAATATTTATTCATTTGTTTAAAATAACGTGTGGTCAGAAAATTTTGTTTCTCTTATTTCATATATTATTTTATGCTATTTACTCACTATAAAAGTTTTCACCCAGCCTGTTTCACCTGAGAGGCCACACAATTCCCCTGCGTGACGGTGTTTGTAGAAAAGACCTACCACCTTCCCATAACAAACCAGATTCTTTCTCAAGGTTTATTCATAAAATGTTACCTTTTAATCAAAGTGTCTTTAATCTGTTTTGACTCTAACAACTTTCCATTATTGTAAGTGTGGGGGAAAAAACACCGCCCAGGCAGAACAGGGCTGATTACTGTGCAATAATGGCCATATGATGAACTGTTCTCTCTTTGCAAAGATAAAAATAAAGTGCCAGCTGAGTGAAATCCATTGATCTCCGTTTATTGAACTGGAGTAAACAGCTAAATACTTTAATCCAACAACAAATGTTAAGTGGATTTGTCTTCCTGATGTGTCTTTATTGTTAAACTGAGAAACTGTCACAAGCAATCAAAAAACATCTGTTATTAATATTCTCATTGCAATGTGATTTTAGGTCACAACTTCTAACAATTTGATCAATTCAAAAACAATGTACGATTTCTTAAAACAAATTAGACTAACCCAAAATTTCAACTCCTATCGTCCTGTTTCTTTAATTTATAAACATGGATACTGAATCATTCTAAGTTTTTTTTTTCTTCCATTTTGATGAAAATAATACTGTTATATTGACGTTCAACTTCTCTGGAAAAAAAGGAAAAGTGCTAATACAGCTAATAATAGTTGAATCAGACGATAATGCAGCTGCAAGAAAGAACGATTATATTGGACTTTATGTTTTACTGTTCGTCTGACATAAAAAAAGAACAAAACCATCATTTAAAAAGTCGAAGTAAAGTAAATAATATGACTTTGCTATTTTTCCAGAAACAACCACAACAGCAGAGCATCTTGACAGCAGCAAAGCTAATGCTAGTTAGCTAAATGCTAACTAGCATCAGTTAGCATCTAGCAAAGAAGCTACAACAACTTTAGCACTGCCACACTAGTAAAAATGACTTATTGGGAGGTTCTTGACACCAAATGATAAATTACACTATTCAAGAACGATGTGCAACAAATGAGTGCTATACTGCAGCGAAATACTAAAGATATGGGATAAAATATAATAATCAACGTCTCACCTTCCTTAGCTTTTCTCCATCGCTGCGGTTCCTGTCAGGTCACGTGACAGCTCTGACCAGCCGACTCACCAACTTCATGCGGATCCTTCTGTATCCTGGTGAAAGCATACAATTCATTGTTTATTTTTTGATGATTTACCGTCGACAGTTTGATTAAAGTTTGTAAATACTACTTTTAAAACCAGTGTATCTACAAGGACAAGTCCATTAAAAGGATTCTGATATTTGCATGCATGGATTGACATGGTTTAGGAAATACTTAAAAAAAACTTTTTTTTCCAAGATTGTCGTCTCGTACCGTATTGGGTGTTTAAAATGCGAAGAATATAAATAATTGAATACTTTTCCCCTAATTATGACGGCATAAATTATAGGTGTTGAATGGTGAAGCAGTGGCCTCTAGTGGGTCATTGAGGAAACTGCAGGGTGGTCGTAACATTTTTGAACTCTTCTTCTTGTAAGGTTTATGGCGGTTGGCAAACTAGTTAAAAGTGCATTACCGCCACCAGGTGATAAGGAGAAAAACAAGGAAACAGGAATCGCCCCCAGAAAAAATCATAAAAATAATAACATTTTCCGATCTGTTTCACTATTTTCGACACTTTTTTTCTCTGAACATTGTTTAAATGATTAAAATGTATACACTAACATGAATCGAACACGAAATAGAGAATTGATAGATTTAGGTATAAAGTAATGTATTCAGTCAGTAATGTATCCATCTATCCAGTAACCACACCAGTTGCTCCTTTTTCTATTATAAACTTTTATTGTTCAATGCATGAACCAACCATGTATGGCAGCTTAACAAAGCATGGATCAAACAGGTGTGGCAACTTTATAATTGTAAAGGTCCATGATGGATGTAAGTGAAGCATATATATATATATATATATATATATATATATATATATATATATATATATATTTTATTTATTTTTTTTTAAAAACCTACACCACCAAGTGTTTACCGGGTGTTACATATTTTGGGATTGTTGTATATTTGACAAAATATATGCAAACTGCTTTCAAGATCTTTACATGTTTTACAACTTTTGATATTTCAAATATAAATCTAATTAATTTAGGAAAACACAAAAGACAGGGGATGCTCTTACTTATTGTTTAATTAAGCCAAAAAAAAAAAAAGAAAGTTAAAGACAATCCACTGGACTTTGTTTCAAGGTTTGAAGACGCTTCGCTTCCCATCCAGGAAGCTTTTTCAATTCAAAATGCCATGAATAGCACTGAGTTCGAGGTTTTATACTCAACAGTATTCCTGACATTTTGAATTAAAAAAGCTTCCTGGATGGGAACGTCTTCAAATTTGGAAAAAAAAGTCGAGTGGATTGTTTATAGTTTTCTTTTTTTGGTATGACTATGATCTGGATGACTGAGAATCTTCAGCAGCATTTAATTCAAACATTTTGCCAAAACAAAAGATTAGGTTGCAATCAAATTAGATATTATTTGAATGTTATCACAGATCTTGAAATATGACCTGGAAAGTTTTTTGGGTTTTTTGTAATCTCTGTTTTTCAATGTATATTTCCAAGTTTTTTTTCGGTTTTCATTGCATCCTCACTCTCCGTGCATCTGGACAGAGAGGAGCCATTTCTCTGTCCAGAAATTCTGCAGGTGAGCAACTTCTATAAGACCATAGTATGGTTTGGGAGATGCATGGCAGGAGAGAGGAAGGACCTATCATGGGTGGTGCAGACAGGACTGAGGATTGTAGCAGACCGTTTACTGGATTTGAACTTGTTTTATGCTGCAGGAGTCCAGAAAAGATGCACACAGACACCACCCACCCGGATACTGCTGTGTTTTCCCACTTCCATCAGGAAATAGATTCAGGGACATAACATAAAACACAAAAAGATTTATAACCTTTTTTTTTCTCCCTCAAAGCTGTGAATACAATAATATCCCAGCCTGCAGGAAGAGGCTAACATCCACTTTTTAAATCAAACAACCCACTGAACCTTACATTAATACTACATGTCACACTTTATGTATATTTCTTTTCTTCTTTCCATATTTTTAAGTCCTTTCTCATCTAAAGAAGCTCATTCTTCATTTTTCAATAAGTGCTTTTAATGTATGTCTTTGTACTTACATGTGCATTTTGGGTGCAATTTTATCATAACAAAATTACAATAAAGTCATTTTGTACGGGGGTCACAGGTTAAATCCCCCCGAGTAATAAAACAACCGAGGAAGAACAATTTAAGGTATGTTTGATTGACAGCCATGTGGACCAATCGATTGGCTCTGTTCTCATATTAGTCTCCGCCCCCTACTAGCCCCGCCCCGCCTGGTTTTGATCTCAGTGGCTGCAGCCCTTTTTAAACTCCTTTCGGCTCGCCGTCTGCAGCAGACATGTGAAGATGCTCCGAGTAGAAAGCTCATAATAAAACCCTCTCAGCGCCTCCAGGGCCCGGGATTACTGGCATGTTTTTAAAGGATGGAAACGGATGAAGTGTCGGTTAGAGAGCAACTTTTCCACAACCGCGTCCGCGAGACGATAGTAAGTCAAAAGCTGAGCTAAAGAGAAGCGACCGTTCGTTGATGAGTTTAAAGGAGGGTGGGGGGGCTAAACACACACACACACACACACACACACAATACATCATTTAAAGTTTGCTGCTAGCTTCTTTCTAAATTGTATTTATTTAAGTTTATTGGGTTTTTGTGTACTTTAATTTGCTCTCAGATTTATTAAAGCGCAGAAGCAGGCACAACAGTAATGTAAAACTTATTTAGTTGTGTGTATGATTTTAATTGAACTATGCTTTATTTTTTCCCATTGTGTCCTGTTGGGTTGTTTTAGGAACTTCAGCTCAGTTTGAACTTCAGACTTTGCAGCCCGATCTGTTCAGTCACAGCAAGGCTGAGAACTTTAACCCTAAATAAAACAGTCAGCTCCCAGGCAGCCCTGAAAGCTAAGAGGGTTTGGAATCACCAGTTTATCCATAAGGATGATGAGGTTTTGTGTATAAACAAAACAAATTTTCTTCTTTTCTCATTTCTGTAAAAACCCTTGAAACCCTTTTTATAGATTTACAGCAGGCAATGAGGGATAGTTCAAGTTCTAACCAATTCTATATTTATTTAAACAAAAAACATAAATTGTTTAGCATATATTAACAGATTAATTATGTTTATAGCTGGATGCTTATAATCAGCAGGTTTTCTTCATTTGTAGCAGAAAAAAGAAGAGAATAGAAAATTCCTTTATTGTCCCACAATGGGGAAATTCTGGTGTTTAAAGCAGCAAAAATATAACAGAAAAAAATGTCACACAAATGTAGAAAAAATGTATAAGAATAACATATTAGTGAAGAGTTAAAGGATAATAAAAAAAAAAACTCACTAGTTTCATTGTGTTTAATATTATTCCTCCTAGGAGATAACCAACGTTTTAATGATCAGAGAGTTTCATTTGCTGATTTCTCTCTTTCCTATTCTATAGGATCATTTCTTATTCTTATTAGATGTATTTTAGAAGTTATTGTTAAACAGTTATCTCCATTCAAACCTGAAAATAAATAATGTGGACTTGATATTTTATTTTCTCTTAAGCATTTTAGGAGTACTATCACAAAAGTTAACAAAGTAACGGGTTTGAATAAATCTTGCAGCAATATGCTTAGATGTCTTGATACAAAATGAATGAAATTTCCCCATGATGAATATAAATCGACGTCCTATGGTTGTCATACCAGAGAAAGCTTAGTACAAGTTGATCCAAACTATAAATGAACTAGGGATGCAAATTATCGATTTACGGAATTTATCAAAAGTGGATTTATCTTACGGATTGACTAAGTATTAATTCATTAGCAGTTCCCTAAAAACCTGAGTTTGCTCTTTTGAAAACCGAGGGTAAAATATTTCTTAGCAATATGCAGAGATAAATAGAGTATATATTATAAAATGTATTGTGCTAGCATGCTTTGTTGCATGTTATTATACTTTGAGATATTTATAAAATAAAAGGCATTTACACACAAATGCTTTCCCCATTTACCATCCTTTGTGCTTGCATTTCTTACATGTTTCATATGTTATTCATAATGCCCTCAATTTCTCATAATTTTAAAGCCAACAGAGAAGTTGATGCTGCTCCGCCATGCAGCGCGAATAAATGGGTGTTATTTAGGCAATTACTTCAAGTCTTTATAAAGTGCATTAGGCATATTTGTCTCCATTTAACAGTGTAATTTATCAAGGACCAGACTCTCGATAAATTCACATTTCTGCTCTTCTTAACACATATCAGTGAGGTTAGGTTAAGAATTAATAGTGGTGCCCTCTAGTTGACGATGGTTGCATTACAACACTAAAAGAAATTCCTGAATTGTTAACAATTGTTCAGATGGAATAAATTTTTATCTAATAAACCATTAATTGACAGGTAATCGTAACTTGATTTGTTTACTTTCTTAAACTGAACAAAATGTTGGATTAGCAAAATGAGCTGCAGTCTTGTAAGTTTTGTTGTGCTGTATCCGTCTGAGCAATTAGCTGACATTAGTTTAAAATAATAAAAAAAAAATCCTCTGAAACTTTAGTTTTAAATGTTGTATCAACATGGAAACGGTCAATTCTGAATTTTCTTCCTGTAGAAAAACCCTAATTATGGAAGACTGTTATTAAACTTGGCAGCACTTGCCTGTATTGCATTCACTAATCTATAGCTTGGGTGTGTTTTCAGACCCATTTGTAGCCCTTATAATCGCCAACAAATGTATCTGTTTATATATTTTTTTCCATCTTTTTTTTTTTTTTGCCTGGTATTGCATTAAATTTGAACAATATGTCGAATCATAGTTAAATTTCACTATATCGAAATAAGTGTTTGAAGATTTTATGTAATTTAGTTGATTCTTTTCTTCCAATTTTCATCCATTCCATTGCTAGAATATTTTATTTTTCATCACATTTAGTCATATGTCTAACTTTATTTACTTTAATGCATTAATTCCATTTGTAAAAATGACATTTCAAACACTGTTGGAATAAATCCAAACTCAAGGCTTCCCTTTTTAGCCTCTAAATGCATTAATTAAAACATATAATGGGATGCACTGTAAAAGCCTTTTTATTAGTAAAAAACAAAACAAAATGGTAACTAATTTGTTGGCCTTGGAAAGGAAATTATTCCAGCAAATATCACACAGCCCCCCCAAAAAATATTTAATTGTTACTGGTCAACAAAACCCTTATTGGGGGCTATCTAGTTTTCTTGTTTCAACAAGTGAAAATCTGATCATAATAAACCGCAAGCAAGATGAGTTCAGACAAGTAGGCCTTTACTTTTTTATCTTTTTCCAACTCAGATTGTGAAATCAGAACAGTAAAACTTTTTTTTTTTTTTTTTCTTTATGGGTGGGGTTTGCTCCACATGTTTACATTAGAAAGGAGTTTGGGACATTTGTTAGTAGAATTTAATCAGCTCTTTGTTTTGCTGCCTCGGCTTCACATTAGTCTATTCTTATGTCCTTGCTTGTCAGTAACCCTTTCGCCTCAGGTCCTAATGCTATTAGCTGCAGGCGAGCCTTGAGTGTCTAGCTCACCACCTCCTGACTTTGCTCCCTCTCATGATGGTCAGCTGCTCCAGCACCTAAATGGCCACCTAAAGCCATATCAATGAGTGACAAGCTGATTTAAAAACACCCACTCACCATAATATAGATGTGTCACACTTGTCTCGTTCACGGCCACCATTTGTGCTTTACAAGTAAAGTGGGAAACGGTAAACAGTGCGAAAGTCGAATGTCACTGTTGTAGTTTCACAATGTGGTCAATCTTTAGAGCGAGAAAACCTCCTGTAATGATAGGGCTTTTTATTTTTAGATGAACTGAGGAGGGCCTGGAAACTGGTTTCACGTCTGACAATTTACAACAAGATGCTTTCTGTGGAGATTATGCATTCTGCAAACATAAGGTTAGGAGGAGAGGCACAAGCCGGCCTTTGTTGCAAAGACTAACTCTTAAGTCAGTAATTGTAAAGTTATGTGGGTGGATTTGTGCATGTGAGAAGGAAATATTTTTGAGGACACATTATAAATGCCAAATTACTTATATTTAGAACAGTAAGTTATGCAGCACCTTGTTAACTTTCCATTGCTTTTTGGGGATTTTACAATACAACTTCAAGTCGTGAGATCCTCTGTGTAAAGCACTTAATGGGTTTTGTTTGTGAGATGTTCTATACAAGAACAAGGATATTTGGTGTTTTAAAAGAACACCAAATATCCTTTAAACTGCAACAGATTAACTAAACAACAATCTCACTTACAGCTCGTTATTATTTTTTATCTTTTTTCTACATTTTAATTTTGGAAAATTAACTAATTAGTAGCTGATTGTTTGTTCTAAATTACAAATATTTTTAACACGGCTTTGATTGTTTTGTCCTGTTACCTTTCAATAACCTGACTATGATTTATGCTGCATACTAATGTTCAGGATAAAATGTTAATAAAAAGATCCATGGGAAAATGTTGTTGCTGCCAAATATCTGTCTACACTGTGTCATTGTAAATCCAGGCTGACAACATCTGGCAAATTTATGCATAACTGACATGGTGAAAGGAAAAAAAAAAGTAGAAACTATACAGGGATGCATAGCTTGCACTAGAGGAATCAGGTAGGGTCAAAGTAGGATCCTGTTGGAACACCCTAGAACAGTGAGTAAGTCAGGTTGCACAGGACGCCATAGCACCATAGAACAGCAAACCAAAACATAATAAGGTATCTTTAGCATCTGTTATTGTATTTAGACCAATTAATATTACTCACTATGCACCTGTGTATAAAAATCCTTACCTTAAGTTTGACATTTCCTAAAGACATTTTAGATCCTAACCCTTTTAATAAATGGACATGGGATTTAGAGATCTAAAGAATAAAACTAACCAACTTAGCTATAATATGTTCAGCTTTTCTTTCATCTACAGACTGCAACAGTTCAGGAGGTAAAATAAACACTACCTAGCAAAGTAGTGCTGTTGTAGGAACCATCATCCCACGTTGGAAATCCTGTTTCCTCTGAAGTGGCTCCCTACATCTTTTGCTCTTAGCTTACTAAGTTTGTTAAAAGAGATCACTTGTACTAAAAATCCAACTGTAATCCTTCTTGCCTCTTTTACTTCTTCCCCAGAGAAAAGTGTTTTTTTGCTAGGGTGACATGATCGAGCTTTGAAAAGTATTCCTTTGTTGTGTTTTGTTTTTTTACGGACAGATCACTGTTTAGGGTGGTCAGTCAGTCTGATTATCCTGATTTATTTATTTTTTCTTCTACTAGAGATGTAAAAAGTCCATCAACTTCTACAATAACGTGTTTCTTGCTAATGTTAAAAGAGAATTTCTTTTTATCTCCTGGCTATAGTTGAATATCTATGTTTACACAGTTTTTTTTTTTTTTTTTAAGTCTTTGAGGATTTATCTTAAATGTGAGGTTCAATGTTTTGTTTTCTTGCTGTACACCTCTTTTCCTTCAAATGGAAATAAAAGACGAAG